CTGCAACAACTCTTACCTACCCATTCCCCCCTCCCCCCCAAGTGCTAGGAGAGGCACATATCTTTTTAAAATGAATGCATCTCTCTCAGCTGATACTGAGAACAAGGGATCAGGTGTAGTGTTATGGGGGTGGGGAGGGCATGGCAGAAAGTATTAAGACCAAAGCGGTAGATCATCTAAGAGAAAGGAAGGCAAATAAGAAACATACAGATGTTGTGAATAAAAGCTGCAGAAAAACCAAGAGCCATGAGTGCATGAAATATAGATGTACAGCTGTTTCTTTCAGGTGTTGTAACTCAAAATCATAGGATGATTAATTTAAAAAGTTGAAACGTATAGCAGATTTTGATTACATTTTAGTATATATAATGTAGCTACTTAGTAAAATTAACTCCGTGCTTTTAGAGAGATGTGAGGACAATGAGAGCAAAGTGAATGTTTGACTATACACTTTTTCCTTTTGATTTGCAAAGTTTATTTTTAACTTTTAATTTTTCCGGTGTATTCTTATCAGTGCAGCTGAATGGGTTTGCTTCTCCCTGGTGTCAGGTTTTGTGCTTTCACTTCCATAGGTGGGCTACATTTCCAAGTACTTTGTACCCAACATTGGGGACAGATTTTGTAGAGAGCTCCTGTTGAGATACTTACGTAAGTGTCAAGGGTTTTTTTTTTTTTTAAACCAAAACACCTGAGTGAATTAAGAGCATGAGTATCATTGAAAGTCACTGGTAAAAGAGAAACACCAAATGTTGCTGGGTTTATTTCCTATGGAATTACTTTGCTGCAGTTTCGTAAGTGTAATGTTGAGGAAATAAGGAGTTTCCAAAGATAGACAGGCCTCTGTGGAAGTTCATATTTGACAACTGTGTAGATGTACTCTATATAATGGAGTTAAGCAGCCCCTTGCACTCGAATATGTCTTACCCTTTAAGCCAGATCAGATCCCAGAGGTCAAGGCTGTCACCTTTGTAACTGCTCACTTCAGGTAACAGCTCACCTGAGGAAATTGGTCACAAGTTTGGCCATTCAGAACTAGCAAAGGATAACTTTTCTCCCTGTTTGCAAGTCCCAATGCATCCACCACCAAGCATGAGTAGGCTCTGACACAGGGGTCGGCAACCTTTTCCAACCAAACAGCCAAACTACATCAACATTCAGTGGTTAACAAAGAGCTGTATAACGACAATTTACACAACTGAAAATATACAACTTGATATTTTTGATAATTGACACGATTAATAATAGTGTAAATGAAACTCACAGACTTTATTTAATGGGACTTCTGCTGCTACATCTTTTTGCACATTTCTTTGAAGTTACATCACAACTGGTCAAATTCAGCTTCATGCACAGTCAGGCTGTCTTCTGTCAATCTTATGGCAGGGAGCTGGGGATGTTGAGGTGCAGGAGTCTGGGTTGGGATGTATGATGGACTCAAAGTACAAGGCTGGTGTGCATGGGGGTGCAGGAGTGTTATGGCAGAGGACTAGGGATGTGGGGGCGCAGGAGTCTGCGGATGTGCATGAATTTGGGTATGAGGGATTCAGGACAGGGGGTTTAGGTGTATGATGGGCTCAGGGTTGGCGTGGGGTGGGGTGCAGAGATATTATGATGCTGTGTCCAGATGGGGGATGGGCCCCAATTGGAGGCTTGTTGGCCAAGCTTCATTTTTAAATAAAGTAAAATATGATATCCAACACAAAAGGTTTTAACATTGTCTTTATTTATGGCAAGGGTGGAGAATCTTTTTCGGGTCAGGGGCCACTGACCAACAGAAAAATCAGTTGGGGACCACCCAAAAGAGAAGCAAAAATCCCCCATAACCCCCCTCACAGATATGGCCCCCAACTGAAACACCTCATTCCTCTCATGCTCCAGCCCCATGGTGGGGAGAGGATAGGTAAGACTGAGGTTCAAGGCCACAGGCCAGATTTACTCTTCTGGGGTTCCAGGGTTAGTGAATTTTGTGGGCTCCCCTAGGCTCTAGGGTGGGGTCAAAATGAGGGGGTTAAGTGTGTGGGACAGAGCTGCCAGTGAGACAGGGATGGGGGTGCCGGATCTGGGCGGGAGGTGGGGGTGTGGGAGGGAATGAGGGTGCAGAAGCAGACAGAGTAGGGGGCAGGAGCAGCCTGGGGAAAGGCTGTCTTGCCAGGGGGGAGGGGCAAGGGGG